TATCAGTTGTGAAAAGACAGCTAAGAATACAAGGCAGGAAAAGCCATGTAGGGACGTCAGGGCCAAGACAAGGCCTGTGATTCTGTGACACAACCGTCTGCTCTTTGTATACAGAAAATGTGATGAGGAATGTGCATTGTCCCAGCAGTCATATCTGTCCACTACGTCCAGCTACTGCCAACTCCCCTCCACTCCAGAGCAAGCTCTGCTAGTTCTTTGTCTGTCCCAGACTCTAGAGCCCCCTGCCTGTAGCAAGGAGAAATCACCTTGAACCTCAGCATTCGAGAGTGTGTGCGTGTGTGTGTGTGTGTGTGTGTGTGTGTTTGTGATCAATATTGCTCTGTAAGCTGATAGCACTAAAAGGTGGTGAAAATAGTTCAATGAGAGGATTCTTAAGAAAATGCATTTCTGTAGATGTGGCATTTTCTATCTCAGAAGTTGACGCTGGAGATTGGATCAAGCAGATTTTACTCCACTAAAATGAGCAAGTATCTTAATCCAGCAGATAAATAATCCACAGAAAATGTGCATCAGCTGGAGAACAATTCGCAAAGGGTCTTCACTTACCAAGCTCAAACTTTTCAAATAACTCCAGCAAAGAAGATGAACTTCCATTTTCTCGGGCTGATATTTCAGAGTCAGTGCAGATGAAATAAGATATTTGGTTTAAAGAGTGATGTCACCACCCCAGGGAAGATTTGAGTCCTGTGCAGGATCATGACATGCTCCTAAAAGTGTCCCTTGTTCTCTTCCTGCAGCTCGACCATTATCCTTCTGTGAGTTACCATCTGCCAAGTTCCTCCGACACATTCTTCAATTCTCCCAAGTCGCTCTTTCTAGGAAGGGTAATAGGTAAGAATTCGGTTCTCTAGGTATAAATGTTTGTTAAGAATACATTTGGTATACGAATTACATTGGGTAATGTGAATTTGGATTTTAAAATGAACAGGTAAATTTCTCTCGTTGGGGTCAGTAACGAGTATCTTCTCCATACAAGAGTTGTGCTTTTGTTCTCAGTGATGAACAATTATCTTTGGGGTAAATTGCTAATATAGTACTTTCTAAAGCTACTAATTTTCCTTCAAAACATACTGCAATTGGTGCTGGGGCTTCTAAATCAATGATGGTAATAGAACCGGTGTTATTTGGTGTCTGGCATAAACTAGAACACAAGGGAAGCCTACTCACTATCTGCTCCAGGCTGCTTTTTGTAAAATATTTTTCTTTGGCTTATTAAAGACCTGTACCTACTAACAACATTTAATTTAACTTTTTCTTTGTTTAAGGATATCAACATGATTCTGTCTTCCTCTCACTCATGAGAAAGCTTCCTGATGGTATTTACAAATTAGAAGCCAATAGGAATTACGCAGTCGTGTCAGAACACCCTTCCCTATGTGTGATTGTGAATTTAGGAGTTACCTTTGCCCTTCTCTTTCCTGTAGGAGATTAGTGCTATCTATATTAAAATTAAAATGTAATCAGGTTAGTATTTATAAATATTTAATGTGAAGCCAATACTTTTTTTAATATGAGGCTGTCTATGGTGAACCCAAAATGAAAATAATAAGATGATGGTAATGTGTAGGCTGAGGGGGGAGGTCACTTTGTATGTCCAGTGTGTAGTGGTGATCAAACTGGTATTAATAGTGAAAAAAAAAAAAAGAAACCATACTCAGACGTCGTGTGATGGTTACCTTAGAAATGAAAAGAGGGGGCCGGCCCAGTGGCGCACTGCTACAGTGTGCCGCTTGGGAGGCGCGGCGGCGCTCCCGCTGAGGGTTCGGATCCCACATACAGACCGGTT